ATGGTTGGAAAAGAAACGTCCGGGTCCATATGTGCAATTTGAGACTGAAGAGGGCTCACGGTATTATATCGAGATTCTGAGAGCGTGGAAGAAGAACTAGTAGAGTTAAGGTTCTCAACAACCTGTTGCGCACTTGCCTGTTTTGTGTCTTTGGTGATGCTCGTGTCGGGCATACCGTCAGGACTCATGGCAACATCCATGAAGGATCTTGATTCATGGATATCAATGCCTATGGGGTTAGTGGAGGCACCTAATTCCTCCACGTTGCCATCCATTGTGCAGGATAATGTGTTACTTAATGGTTAGATTGCTGCTCAGCTGACGTTGAACCTAAAGCAGCCAGCTAGGAAAAAAGGTGGTCAAGAGTATGAGTATGCTGATTGAAGGTTGAGAAAGTGTCGCGGACGTGACTGTATGTACACCGTTAGTTTCGGATGGAACTAACGGCGTCGTTTTTTCCCTCACAGAAAGGTAACGATGAAGCAGTTGTTCGATATGTAGATGCAAGTTAAAGTTGAATGCCAATATCATTTAGAATGCAAGAGTAATTGCGCACATGTAGACCGTATAAACAAACAAATAAACGAACACACAGTCGTATAAACCTAGTTATACAGATCTAACCTTACAGACGAATATACAGACCTAGCCGTATAAACGAATACTTACGTATACAAATCTAGCCATCCAGACCTAGCCATCCAGACGAACACCTAGCCGTACAGACCTGACCGTACAGACCTAGCCATACAAACATACGCACGGACTAATAAGTTGTAATGAGATATGAGGACCATATGCGCTATTCAGATCGACTTTTCATGACGATTTATGTAATGACGTCCTGTGAGCCATGTGAGCCAGCATAGACTGTTATTAATATAATCATTTACTTACTGAATATGAGCTCTGGTGAATTGGACCTTTTTACCATGCTCGTTGATAAATTCTCTACTGCTTAAATATTCCCGGAGTTGAGTCATATGAGTTGAGAGAGTCCGTCCAGTTAAATCCCGGATAGTTATAGCCTGTGTGGGAGGAACAAGGTCGGTATCTTCACGTTTGACCTCCGTGTTGGTATCCATTGTGCAGGTGAAGGTGGTACTGAAGTAAAGGTGGTACTGAAGTAAAGGTTAGATTGCTGCTCAGTGAAAGTCAAGTCTTCTGTAATCATTTGGTACGAAAGTGGTAAAGAGTATGTAGAAAGTGTCAAATGTTGAGAAGGGTTGAGGTTGGCGTTAGAAGAGACATAGAGGTGGCTGAAGAGAAAGTCTGAAACTCAGTTGCACTTGCTGAGTGTTGGTAAAGCTCCTGCCTTCTGAGCCAAGTGAGTTACAGATTGGAGGCAAGTACCTTCCGCTTTGTAGGCTTACTTCATAAGTACCTTAAACTTCTACGATCTCGTTCTGTTTTGTTGAATGCAAAGTGAACATTAATCATGAAAAATCGAATCAAATGCCTAGTGAAATATTGCTATCTCGTCGCAGTTAACTAATTCGCAGTTGATGGTGTAACTTGACTACTACGATGTGCGCAGCGTGGCGGGGTCGACATCTCAGCATTCGTCGAGCTTCATCACCAGCTGTACTAGTCATAACTCAATATCATATTTACTTTGCGCTTGAGATAATTATGTTAATGCGCATCGTAGTTTTAATACCGGGCGAAGATTAGAGAATAAGTGCCCTCAACAGCCGAGTGGAAACTGCGGAGACCGGCGAGCCTAAGGCAAGGGACAGTCCAGATTTGACCCCGCCCGGACCGCTCAAGGCAGACTTAAGTAACTATAATTAATAGCTCCCCAACATTTACCGTGACTTCTGTGAGTCGTTAAAGACACGAACAGACTGTAACTAAAATAGGCAGATCTTCTCACTTGACATATCATCATGGCGGTTAAAACGGACTCGAAGGAGGTGGTTGAGCTCCTGAAAACACTCATGAACATCGAGAGCACTAGTGAGAAAGAACTTGAGATCGGACAATACCTGGAAAAGTACATACAAGGTCGCGGGTACGCCGCGGAACGAATCGCTATCGAACCAGGCTCGACGCGGCACAATGTCTACGCATATTTGGGTCAGGAGCGAAAAGCGCGGCTACTCGTCACTGCGCATATGGATACAGTGCCGCCTCACATCCCATTCAGTATCGACGGCGACGTGATCCACGGACGCGGCGCTTGCGACGACTTGGGCCCTATGGTCGCGCAGATATTCGCAGTAGAAGAGTTGCGCGCCGAAGGAAAGTTGAAGGAGGGAGACGTGAGCTTCTTATGGGTTGTCGGCGAGGAGAAGGGTGGTCCCGGAATGATTGCCGCGAACGACATGGGGCTCACGTGGGATGCGGGTCTCTTTGCCGAGCCTACAGAGGGAAAGGTGGCGAAGGGACATAAGGGCAATCTGGTGTTTGAAGTGATTGCTCATGGGAAGGCCTGGTAAGTGCTTCTGGGCCTCATTGATTGTACCCTTTCGAGAAAGGGAGGACGCATGTTAACTTGATCATTTGCGCAAAGCCATTCTGGATACCCACACTTGGGCAAAAGCGCGACGCTACTTCTCTTCGACGCGATGAAGGATCTCACAGCAGTTGAATGGCCGGTTTCCGACCTCTTGGGCCCGTCGACTCTGAACGTCGGCAAGATCGAGGGCGGAGCCGGTTACAACATTCTGGCCGCAGAAGCCAAGGCGCTCTGCAGCATCCGCGTCTCGAAGGATGTAGAGGGAATAAAGAAGGCGGTGAGGGAGGTGATAGATAAGCATCCTGATGTTGACGTTGACTTCAAATTCCAATACTCTGAGATGTTGCTAGAGTGGGAGTTTGAAGGCTTTGAGGCAGAGCCGATGGCGTATGGTACGGATATACCCAGGCTGCGAGGCGACCATAAAAAGGTGCTCTATGGTCCTGGTTCCATCCGGGTGGCACATGGCAAAGACGAGTACATCCTCGTTAGCGAAATCATGGAGGCAATTGAGAAAAACAAGAAACTCATCCTTGAATTGTTAAAATAGAACGTTCATAATAACATCATGTGTAAAGCATCAAGACATGGGTGTCTTCGATTTGACAAACAACAGGCTCAGCGCCAGACGCCGGGATTGTATATCTTAGGAATATGTCGTTTTGGATATGTCGCCCTTTACTTGGGTCACTCTTGGGGTGTGCTATGGCCTATCTATCTTATATTACCTAGTTGAAAAGACAAGTTGTAACTGTAGTGACTCCTGCTTTTGTATTACCTGAAAAGGGAGCTAGGTGTCTCGGATGGGGGTTTGTTTTGTTTGGCATTGTGCACGTCACTAGAGATAAATTTTGTTTGATTACTACACTTCTTAGCAATCCGTCCCAACCCATCCTTTTGAATTATGTTGCGATATTAGATACCGTCAATTTCGTCTAGGGCGTACATTTGCACTGAAGAACTTCAGGATTTCCTCGGGGCGCACTTCAAATTCCCTCTACCCACAATCTCAGCTAAACCTACAATCTTCTCGCTCTTACTTGATCCTCTCTACCAGCCATCAGCAAAGATGCTTCCTCAACCGTTCATTCTACAGCTACCACTTGAACTATGCGAGAAAGTGATCATAGAGGGTCAACTGTCATCTCAGGACGTCGGATCTTTGAGACTCACTTGTACCGCGCTTGCTGCCATCGCAAGACCTGCTCTGATCTACAGTAAAGTTGTCCTCTCGCGCTTGAGATCAGACCGAGATGAATTCGAGAAGGCTGTGCAAGATCACAGGATATATGTGCAGGAGATCATCTGGCAGGGACTTGACTTAGACTCTTGGGCAAAAGATGATCAGCTGTGGCAGGGTATCCTGCGTAGAGCACATCCGAATTCGATGTTCCAAAGGCTGGTGCGAGATCCGAAACTCCTTTGGATACCTATCCGTTGGCAACGGCGTATTTGGGATAAGGATTGGAAAAATATGTGGCAGGCGTCAGCAGATTGGATCAGCGAGCAAATTGAAAGCATGCCGAATGTAACAACCCTAACTATCAAGCCCATGCCCGACATTCGAGTGTTCGGTAAGACTTTTGAAGAGGGATTTGATAGTGGACACTATAACGAGGATCGCCAATTCGACTTCGCCGTCGTTCTTTATGTCCTTCTTCAACCCTGGTGCAGGGTGCGAACCTTGAATCTGGACACTCGGTTGCCAAGAAGGGATTTTTGGGACGCCAAACTCTATCTCGAAGATTCGTCGGCATTCCAGCATCTGACAAGCATCAATATCTGCGCTATTCCAAGGCATGAGTGGTCTCGGCACTATTTTGACTCGTTATTAGTTCACCTTAAACGGGCCAAGAACCTGAGAAGTCTGAAGCTTTGTTTTTCAGATGTCCCAAGCAAATGGAATTGTACGTATAGGGACACAAGATTTCTTCTGTGGGATCTGTTCAAAAAACGTAGATGGCCGCACCTACAATCCTTGCATTTGGTCAATGCCCAATCCTTCCATATGGTTGGCCGGCCTCTCCCGTTGTGCTGTCTCCCAGAGTTACGCCATCTCACGTTAGATAACTGCGACGTGAAACATCAGTGGATCGACGACGTCAGAATACAGCAGACGTACCCCCGTCTTGAGTTGATCACCATCCGCGCCGAAGCGAAGTGCTGCAGGAAACTCACCAGTGAGGCCAGAATACTTGCCTACCTGAAGAATGAGGTTGCAGACCTTGACATAAGCCACATGATTTGTGGAGAAATTGTTACGGATCTCAATGTGCCTCCGTGCCAATTATGTTCAGCCTGTACGAAAGAATAGCGTTGACGAGAAGCCATATAAGTTGCATGCGCAGACATTACACATATGCCACTTCGCTCGGTTTTCAGTTGTTGACGTGAACAGTAACGCATTTGCAACAACACAACGAACTGGGTCTAATTGGTTGATGTTTTGATGCACAGAAGTAGAAGTAGAAAAAAAAATATAGAGAGAGAAAATCGAAGAAAAAAGCACGAATGCAGGGAATAAAAGTCGAAAAAGCAACTCCGAATCGGGGAATCGAACCCCGGGCTTGACGGCACTGGTCTACATCTAGTGAGGTAAATGAGAGCGTCAAATGTTAGCCACTACACCAATTCGGATGATGACGTTGCCGGAAATAGCTACTATATCCAGATCCTGGAAATTGCTGTAGAGTATCCACCGGCATGAGATATTAGTAACTAGAAGAGTGCATAGCACATAATTGTCTTTATCAAGCCTATTGCAAATTGATTTAGGAACTTACATGTATGCTAGCTATTATAGATGATGGTGACATGACTGCTTTTGATAAACACACCGCCAACAATTGCATTTGTCCAAATCAGACAGCTTAAGTAATTGTCAGACCGTCAGTTTATGAAAGCGGTATCTACGTACCCCAGCAGCACTTCGTTTTGGTACTGACATCATTCACTACTTTACAGACCGCCGTTGACCAGAACTCTGGGACAACCACATGTAGATGGGTCCGGCACCGGAGCTATCGTCAAGTATTATCTATTATCCAATAGTAGAATAGGTATTTCATTCGTGGTGGGCAGGCCCCAGGTACTGGGCTTTATGCAGCGCCCACGCTACTGTACGCTATAGATAAGTTCGCATGCCCTTCACATATCCTAGCAGCGAAATTAAAAATCACAGTAAACTTCGGGCAACCTCTGCCCATCAGACAGAGAACTGGTGTACATAGCCAGGCTCCGAGGCAGAAGCAAACGGACCTAGGCAACCAACAACCCGGCGCATTAACCAGTAGCTGCATGTATTAATACCATCCAAGTTTTAAATCCCACACTACTTCTTCTTTTCCCACTTGTAATTCTGATACTCAACTGGCGGCAAATCCGATACAAACTCTCACAGAAGCCACCAACAGAACAGCAGAGACAAGATGTCATCAGGCGTTGGCAACGGTGACAGCAATGGCTTCGTCGGTCAGTCATACCAATTTCCCCTTCCCCATGTGTCGCAAACGCTAACTGAGAGCGCTTTCAGACCCCGGCATCGTGACGACACCTCAGATCTCCGAGCCATGGGCAGTAGAGAAGGTGATAGCTACCATGTCTCCGGCACCGCCTGCTGAGGGCGCCGACTCGCCTATTCCATATTTCCACATCCTCGAAAGACTCAAGACCAACAAGCGGGAGGGATGGAGACGCTTCAATATTGAGAGGTATCATACCCCGACATGCTCCATCACCGATGTTTGAGGGCTGATGTCAACGTGCGCAGAGGCGAATCGATATGCGACCACATGTACCGCATGTCCCTCATGACGATGCTCTGCCCACCCACGCTTGCGCCGAAGCTCGACCTCTTCAAGTGCATGAAAATGTGCCTCATCCACGACATGGCCGAGTCCATCGTCGGCGACATCACCCCTGTCGACGGTGTATCGAAGCCGGAGAAGAGTCGCCGCGAGGCCGAGACGATGGACTACATATCTAAGAACTTGCTCGGAAAAGTCTACGGCGGCCTAGCGGGCGCAGAGATCCGGGAGATTTGGCAGGAATACGAGGATTCTAAGACACTGGACAGCCACTTCGTACATGATCTCGACAAGATGGAACTCCTGACACAGATGGTGGAGTACGAGAAGCGCGCCAACAAGGCCCTCGACCTCGGCGAGTTCGCCTACGTAGCTACGAGAATAGTGCTCCCAGAGACGAAGAAATGGGCCGAGGAGATACTAAAGGAGCGCGACGAGTTCTGGGGCACTCAGGTGCATGTCCATGGCGAGGCGGGCGTCGACGGCGGCGTCAAGGCTGACAAGCTTAAGAAGCAGGAAGCTTACTACAACAAGGACAGCGAGGTGGCTCCTTAGAGAGCCTTGTGTCGGACAATCACAGCATCTTCGGTTCTGGCTTAAGCCATTTGGCTAATTCTCACGTACACTTATACAGGGACACGCAAGTGCAAGACATTTGGCGGCGTTTGCTCACTCTCATTGTGGTACAAGGAGAAAAGCAGATAGAGCTCATCATTAGAGGCAACGGGGAAATAGAGATAGACCTATACCCAAAATACTGAAGCAAATTAACTTGAGGTTATACTGTGCCTCTCTCAAAGCACATTCTAAATAGTTGAGGAGTGCGTACGTCAAGTTCATCCTTAGGTACTGCAGGCACCTACTAACCCCGCGATGCCCCGCCGCAGGGGTCTTTCTCAGTTAATCCCAGCACTTACCCCAGCTCGGTTCCAGGCCATCAAACTACCCTGAATAGGAACTAGATATTTAATTAAGTGCATGCTGGCCCAGCAACGCGACCACAACAACCAGGGCGACTTGTTCATCATCTCCCTGATGTAGAGGCAGCACAACTCAAACCACACAATCCCTGGGTTTCGCCTGTGTGTGTGGCTTGAAGTTATGCATGGTCCGAAATATCTGTCGTTGTCAAATACACTTCCCGAGCATTCATCCATCCATATGTCACACCGGCTACTGGCGTTAGCTCTATTCCAGCTCCAGCTCCATCCAACCCTGGGTCATGTGTCTTGTGTGTAAGGGCCGGCAAGCAGGAACCAACACCGTCTGGCTGTGGTCATCATCCCCGTGAAGCACCCCCTCGCTTAGTCCTCCTTTTCACGCAGGCAGCATACATACCTACATGGTCTGTTGAAGCGTGCGAGCTGCCGAGCCTCGAATAGAACTATACAGCAGCAGCAGTTCAACGCGAATACCGATCGCATCAGTAATAAGCATTATACGACTTCAAGATTCGTCGCGAAGCATCGAATCACGCGCTCCCCAGCCGTCATCGGTGCAACCGCGCAACAGACATTCACTACAGACTAATCACCCCCAAAGAAAACCAAAACAACATAGCGATACGAGATCGACGGGAATTTACACATTCTGACATTCTTATCGAGCGAGTTAAGCGAACGACTTTTCGAAGCCCTTCAGGTTTTGTTTTATGTACATATTGACCAAAAAAGCCATCGCGACACTGAGGCCGCGCGTTAACGATTCCACGACTGCCGTTCCACCAGCCTCACGCTCGCTCCTCCTTCCAACCGAGTACACCACTCTCCATATCCATCCACCCATTCAAACACCTCGCTAGAAATGTCATATAATTCTCAGATCCTCATGTCCGGCACCTTTCATCTCGACCTACCAAATGGTGGCGGTGGTGGTAGGGGCGCACCCTTTCCAGGCGTGCATCCGGGACTCTTTCGGCCCCCGGCATCCCCGTCTGTGTCGAGCTCCATGTATCTCGGAAGGTCGACGGCAAGCTTGCAATCAGAGATACCCACGCCCATCTCAAATGCTAAGAGGAAGCGAATAGGTGCAAGGGAGTCCACGCCCATCAGGGATTGGGCAATGACGGGGGACGGAAACTTCAACGCAGATATCAATGACAGTCGCTCCTACTTTGACTTTCGTACAACCGGAAACGAGAAGCGATATGTGCTGGCCGGCCAGATAGAGACACCTAGCGGAGCCATGCAGAAGGAGCTTGGACATATGGAGGATAGCGTTTATTCTGATGTCGATTACAGGCGTGCCCTCGGATCTAAACGATCACGCGATGACGTCGACTCGCCGGCGTTGAGGCCCATGATACTCGAATTGGATAATCAGATCTCCACTGGCTGGGGTTCCTATGCAATCAGCACGATCGGCGATGTGGTTGGCAAGGTCTGGGAATTCTGCAAGACTGGCGCGTTTCGAGGATTCTACGCTGGAGGCGGAAGAGGATATGAAGTATCCCAGGAAACACAACAGCAGTCAGCCAACAGTCAGGTAGGATGGGGTCTTAGCCCTTTATCAGCAGACCTCCCTCAACCCGACGATTCACAATATTATTATGAGCACGACACACCCGAGTCAACACCTCCACCGGCAGCAAAGCGAAGACAGATATCGCATGGGACTCACACTGATGAGCTGCGCAAGAACTGGGTCATGATTGATGAGCCAGCTAACGTGAGCCGACAGCCTTCGCTAGCATCACGAGCGTCATCCCGCCGCCCGGTGCAACGAACGGCCTCACCGTCACTCGTCCGCCGCATCAGCAAGCCCGTCAGCCGTCTCAATGCGCCGAATTTCAATCGTCATCCTCCGACTCCTACCCGACCCACCCGACCGAGCCCGGCTCCCATCTCGACCCACGAGCCCGCCAGCTTTGCATCCACCAGATCGCCAGCTACATCACCAGCCATGATAGCGCAGGCCCCCAGCAGGATTCCCGTTCCCTCTCGACCACAATCCCCCAGCCCCTTCGCGGCAAGTCATTTGACACAGCAGCCGTCTCGAGCATCGAGCCCGAGCCCCTACGCGAAACGCGAACGCGGTCACCGGCGGTCCCAGAGTGCCATGTCGGCCTCGTCGACCTCACCCATGAAGGTGACGAAGCGAGAGTCCATGCATGAGAAGCACGATAACACCCCACGACTAGATGCCAAGGCTAGAAGCCTGGCAGCAAAGCGAATGAAGGAGGAGATGGAGACAGATATGCGGATTAATGACTTCAACTCTCGTCTACGGGACATGATTCGCCAGGGTAAAGAAGCCCTCGGCACGACATTCGAAGTGGAGGGAGACGATGAGGGCGGCCGTGGAGGAGGAGGAGACCCATGGGAGAGTGAGTAATGGCAAGTTTGGTCGTTGCTGAATTCTTGACACCACATTGGGACAGCTCGCTAACAGCGACGTTCTCGCTTGCGTAACTGGCGTCCATTCACAGCTGAGCTGCCGACGTCCTAGACTTTTGCGCTTTTTACGTCCCTGAAGCAAAAAAACGGCTACTGTGTATATACGTGTAATGACCGTCATGATGCGATGGCTTATGGTTTGCGGTCTCTTCAGCTTCTGTATGATACGTATTCGTCCCGCTCGTTTATGTATATTGATTGAATCAAAATTGATGAGCTTTGCACATGGATTGTGCGATGGCTTTAGTAGTATAGAAAATCAAAATGAGAATGAAAGTCACGGATTAGGGCTCACAATGAACTATGTGCCAAATTAAGTTGTAATAGATGAGTCGGTAGAAGTGGAATATTACATAGACATGCTCAGTCTGCTTTACGACGCTGTGTCGAGTACAATATTCAACCCCAGTGCCTCACTGTCCTACATGGGTAATGA